TGATAACAGAATTCTGGGAAATGTTCAGCCTACTGAGTTTTCACATAGCAAATTCATAATTTCAACAAATTCTAATATGAATTATGTTTAAATCAGTCCTGTGGAGGGGCTGGGAAGGTGGCTCAATGGTAGAGTTCTTGCCTTGTGTGCCTGAGGCCCTGGGTTTGATTCCTCAGCACCACATAAGCAGAAAAAGCCAAAGTGGCACTATGGCTCAAGTAGTAGAGCGTAGCCTTGAGCTGAAGAGCTGAGGGACAGTGCCCAGGCCCAGAATTCAGGCCCCATGACCGACAAAAAAAAAAAAAAAATTCCTGTGGAGTCAATGAAACAGAGAGCAGAAAGAAGAGGTCAGAAAAGAAGTGTCTGAGCTGACATTTGGGAAAGGAAGTTAGTCACCCAGGAAGATGAAACAGTATTTGATTATATAGAGAGAATGTGGGAGAATATGCTGGCTTAACAAGTTGGGAGTAAAAGTTATATTTGAATCCTAAATATGGCACATTGGATTCTATTATAAGGACAGAGTAGCCACCAAATTTGTTTTGTTTTGATGCCAGTACTAGCGCTTAAACCCAAGGTCTGGGTGCTGTCCCTTAGCTTTTACACTTAAGGTTAGTTTGTCTTGCCCCTTAAGCAATTAATTGGTAGTGATTAATTGGAGATATTCTTGGGGACTTTATTGCCTGAGCTGGCTTCAAACTTGGATCCATAGATCTCAGCCTCTTGAGTAGATTACAGGCCAGACCCCTGGCAACAGCCTAGGCTAAATGGTTTTAAGCAGAGAAAGAATAATGACTAGACTTTTGTTCCATTAAAAAAAAAATCACTTTGAAAATTTTTTTATTGTAAAGTTGATACACAGGGATACAGTTATATAAGTCAAGTAATGAGTACATTTCTCTCCAAGTTGTATCGTTCATTTCCAACTTAGTGCCCAATGGGTACCACTGCTGAATTGGTTCACCATTTGCCCCACTGTTTCTGTGCTTTCCCTTCCTCTCCACAAATCAGGTAAAACATATATAAGACAAAGGTATAGAAATCAAAACCAGGAACAAAAAGGAATAAACCAAAGGTGAGGGGACCCGCAAACAGTTCAATAATAAAAAATAAACTTCTTGTTTCCATTTCTTGGAGTTTATTTAATCACTATTTTATGTGGCCATAGGCACATCACTACTGATACCTTGTAATCCTAAAAGTATCCGTTGGTCTCTGTGTGAATTTTTAGAGTGCTGTTTAATCATGTTCACGTGTAATTATTACTATCTATTGGGTTTACTTGTAGATTTATAGGCACATTCTAATTATTGCAATCTATGTTTCTTTGGGTCTGGCTTACTTCACTTAATATTTTTCCAAGTCTTTCCATTTCCTTGCAAATGGTTCTGGCCATTCAAACAAACTGACTAGAGAAAAAGCACTATTTGAAGAGAGGCAAAGTGAATTAAGGTGTTGAATCTTTCTAGCTACATGATACTGAAGGTCTTAACCAAAGTCCCTGGTAGAACAAATGGAAAGGAAGTAAATGAGAAATGCTAAAGGCAACATTAGGACCTGCCTGGGGACACTGAAAGTAGTAAAGTGTCAAGTTGCCTGGTTTGTAGGCTGAAGGAGTAGAAAAAGGGATCTTATGATTTAGAATAGAGAAGGAACTGTTTAAAGAAAGAATAAAGAGCCCTGGAAGAGCACCAGTGTTTCGAGAATGAAAGAGAAAAGTTCTGCAAAAGAGAAATGCCCAGTCATTGGAGACAGTAGTGTCATAATACTGAGACAGCCTCTTGTAGGAAGAGTGTACAGTAATCAATTTTCAGGGAGATTGAGTAGGACTAAAAGGGTCAAAAGTTTGTAACTCAGAGGTCTTTGAGGTCTGTTTTGAGAATAATTGTGTTTAAATGATAAGGACAAAGGATAGAAAACAAAGGAGTAAAAGACTTGAAAGAAAAGACAAGTACCATAGTTATCATGACAGTACTCACCCCAGGACCTAGAAGGAACCAACAATTGGCACAGGTAAATATTTTGACCTGAGAGAGACTTGGAGGAAGGAAGGTAAAAAGATAAGAATATAGACATTGTACAATCTCTAAGTGGGAGAACTATAGTCGATTATACATGAGGAGTAATTAGCATTCAACAGAAGTAAATTACTTCCACTGAAAGAAAAGTGAGAATGAACCTTGAAAGAACGAAGTGTTTCAATGTCAAGGTCATACAGTAGTCAATGGTAGAGAGCGCATCATGGGTCAGGCACTGCTAGGAGCTAGGGTATGACTATGAGTGTGGCTTACAGTTTAAAGCCTAGTCATCAGGGCATTGATTGAATAACAAGTGTTCCTGGTATCAAAACTGGAGTATGAACCCAGTTTAGGAATACATGAATGGCCTCAAACAAATTGCATTTAAATTGGTATCTGAAGAAAAGTAGACCAACAGAAGAAACAGCTCAAAGACCCTGATTTCCCTACCATTACCACACCCCCAAGCTGCTTTAACAAGAATATATCTCAATCCCAAATCCAGACCCTTTCCTCTAGTCCTCCTCATCTTACTTGACCTCTGAGTAGTATTTAACACCTATTCTCCCTTCTCTTGCCTCTGAATTCTCTCTTCTGCTTGGTTGTAGAACCTCCCAGCTGTATTTCAGATTTTTAGCCTGCATTCCTGTATTGTAGGCATATGTAGCACAGAAGCCTGCTCCTTCACAGCATGTGTAATTAGTAGTAGTCTCATACAGGCAGGAAGAAGCCATCTTTGCCTCTGTCAAACCTCAAAGCTTAGAACTGAACATTTACATAGCAAATAATTGGAGCAAATTATTTATCTGGGCAATTCCAACCTGACTTGGGGATAGGATTATGGGAATCTGATCAGAGAGATAAACTTTTACTATGGATTTTCAGATTAAGATAAAACTAGAACAATGGGTGGTCCAGCTAAACAGGGTGCCAAGTAAGATCAAATTAGAACAACAACAACAAAAAGCAGAGGTGAGAAAAGCCAACCCCTCCTGGGGGCCAAGGTTGGAATGACCTGCCTGCAGACAGGCACCTGAGCACACACCTGGTACTTTGCTTGACCTGGGGGAATAAGGCAGGAATCAATCCTTCACTTATGTTCCAGCATTCACGTGTGAAAAGATACAGAAACAGTTCTCACTGCTTAAGAGGATTTTTCAGAATGAGGCAACGTCCTTAAAGAGGAAGTCCTTCCAGCAAGTTAGACAAGATGTTTGCAACAATCGGTTTGGTGGTGGCACTGACAGTGGTTGTACTTTTTGTAATATCTGAAAAACCGGATGAGTAACAGAAGCCAGCAAATTCAGACTACTGCATCTTATGACTGGAGTTTTTCTTGAGAGGTAAATACATTTACCATATACTTTTAATCTAGATAAAATAATCACCAAAAGATCAAGTGATCAAGTTGGTGGTTTCTGTTACTTTTGTCTTTTTATTTGGTGGGGGAAGGGAAGGTTATATTTGGGAGGCTGCATTTCATTGATGGATTTAATAGTGATGATTAAGAGTCTCTAGTGCCAGACAGAACATTATTTATAGCACTGTTTACATTTTTGGTGCCTTTGTCAAAAATTTATATTGTTGTTTTCAAAGGGAAATACACCTCCTGTTTCTCTTGGCCTAAATATGAAAGGAGCTTTTTCCCCTAGCACTGTGGGATTGATAGTCTTTCAGGTTGCAGTGGCCTATTTTAGGTGGTAGCAGTTCTCTGAGATGGTTGAAGCCCGAAGGTCAAAGGTTATCAATGTACCAGATGTCACTGGTGATTCTGAATCTGCCCAATGGTAAGGTCTAGTGTAAGTTCATACTTTTAGTACAGTATATACATTTATATCATGTTATATTATGTGGCTAAGACTATTTAAGAAGGAATTCCCCTGCTAATTCTGTTGTGGACTGTGGGCTTCCTGTTCTAATGGCTCAAACTTTTCACCAAAATTTTCTGTCAGGCTCTATCTGTCTGTCTGTCTGTCTGCCTGTCTTTAGATAGGATCTCAACTATGTCGCCCAGTCTGATCTGAAACTTGAAATCCTCCTACCTCACCCTCTAAGTTCCAGGATTACAGGCATGTCCCACTATACCCTACTGGCTCCTTTTTTATCCTACATGACAGGTTCGTTTGGTGAATTGTGTGGTACTTTATAGTGTTACTGTGTTGCTATTGTGACTGACACATCCTCCCCACCCTTCCCTTGGAAGGCTTGGAAATTAGCTTTTGAGAGTTGAGCAATTAAAACACTGGCAGTTGGTGGCATGTGCTGATTAATTACCTTAAAACTCAGCTGGGCTGAATCACACTGAACCACACCTATTGTATTAGCAACTTAGGAAGCGGAGATCTGAGGACTGTGGTTTGAAGTCAGCCAGGGCAAGAAAGTCTGTGAGACCTGACTCTCCAATTAATCACCAAGCGGAGCTGAGGTTCAAATGGTACCAGCCTTGAGTGAAAAAGCTAAGGGATAGCACCCAGACCTTGAGTTCAAGATCCACTACTAGCACATGTGCACGCAGACACACACACCCACACCCCAGCAGAAATAGTAGAACCAATTTTTTTTTCATTTGGATATTTATAATATCAATGGTGATCCATGTACAAAATTATGGACTGCAGACAGTTGATGGAAGCATGCTTCATCATGTACCAGTGATTTCACGGGCCTTAAATGGCCTGCAGGCACTAAAGTAAAAGTGTAGCCACCAAAAAATAATTAGGGATGTGTTATTTACTTAAATAAATTGGAAACCACTTATATAAATAAGTGGGGAAACAGTTGTTTCCTTTAATCCATGGTTTCAGCTACTTGTGGTCAACTATGATCTGAAAATATGAAATGGAAACTTCCAGAAATAAGTTTTAAAAGAAACTTGCTTTGTACAGATGGCACATACTTGCAACCCCAGCTACTCAGGAAGCTGAAAACTGAGGATCACAATTTGAACCAGCCTGGACAGAAAATCTGAGAGACTCTTACCTACAATATGGAAAAAAAAAAGTGAAGAAGGTATAGCTCAAATGGTAGAGCACCTGCCTTGAATGAAAAAGCTGAGCAAGAGCTCATGGCCCTGAGTGTAAGCCCAAGTACAAGCAAACAAAAAAACGAAACAGAAAACCTAACCCTTTTATTGCAGTATATTGTTATGACTATTATGTTTCATTTTCCTTATTGTTGCTAACCTTACTGTGTCTAAATTACCAAGTCAAATTTATCATAGGTATGTATGCATAGAAAAAAACATAGCCCATAGGTAAGGAGGTAGATAGAAGATAGTATATGATAAATAAATGAATATCTAAGAGTGTCACTAAAGGGAAAGATACTAAACTATGATAGGTAGTAGGTTTTTAGATGGTATTACTGTACATTTCTGCCTTTATACTTTCTGATAAAAACTAGGAAGGTATATAACATGACAAACAGAGCCTAGAGGAAGGACCACCAATAGAAGCTTTGTCAAAGTTTTACCTGGAATTACCAGGGAAAGTAGAGGTAGACCATTCATCTTCTTATACTTAACAGTAGTAACCCAATGCCTCCCAACCAGAATTATTTTAATTAGTGTTCTTGCATGTCCTATATATGTGCTAAGCATTATCACTATTTTACTTACACTGTTCAGTTTGTACATCGTTCTTGTTATTAGCTGGTTGATAAGAATCCAATCTAGATCAGTCAATTCTTGGTGCCTTTGATCAGATTGCTAGACTGAGGACTGGTAGCCAAGCAGGATAACCACACCAGGCAAAGTCTGAGGTGGCCCTTTTAGACACTCAGCCTATCAGTCAGAGAGTAGACCTCTTGCCAGGCTAAAAAGTTCCTGTTTTATTTTCAGGGGAAGACAGCATGGGAGGAAGTCACCCTAAACCCGAAATCGGTGAGTTTGGGATGAGCGTCGTCAGTTGCCTTGAGTTGAGTTGTGCATAGGACTGAGTGGGAAGAATCAGGATTTAGCATAATGCAGAATCTAATGTTACAAAAAATGGATAGGGCCGGGCACCAGTGGCTCATACCTGTAATCCTAGCTACTCAAGAGACTGAGATCTGAAGATCATAGTTCAAAGCCAGCCAAGGCAGAAAAGTCCATGAGACTCTTATTGCCAATTAACTACCACAAGGCAGGAAATGGATCTCTGGCTCAAAGTGGTAGAGTGCTAGCCTTGAGCACAAAGCTCAGGGGCAGCACCCAGGCCTTGAGTTCAAGCCCCAAGACTGGCACTAAAAAGGGAAAAAAATGGAAAAGGAAAAACTACCTGGGCCTCCAACTCTGAGCAGACCAGCTGGGCAGCAGTATCCAAGACTCTAGGTTCATTTCTCTTCCAGTATGCAGGGTAGGCTCCGGGGAAACCACTGTATCTGTTTAGGGCCAGCCACTATTAATTAGGGCCAGCCACTATTAATAGCTACCCTGCAAACAAGCAGAAAAAGGTAGCAGTGTCCAAGGTCAAAGTCCTCAGGACTTTGGTAAGCACTGGCTTTGGGTTTTACTGTTTGTTCTTGCTCCCAGATGGACAGTCTTGATTAGGCAGGGGCAGAATGTCTCCCAGTGCTGAAGAGAGGGAACACCTGAGGAGAAGTTGTGTTTATCTAAAGGACTGCTGTGGCTTCAAAACACTTAGCTCATTTCTTTTGGATGTTTACTGAATGATTTTCCAGGGTTTTTTAAGTTTTTTTTTCCTAGTATGAAATTTGAACTCAGGGCCTCAGGCAAGTACTCCACCACTTGAGCCCTGGCCAGTTATTTTAAGGTCCGATTATAATTGTTATTTTTTACATTTTTGGTGCTGCTACTAAGGCTTAAACATGGGATCTGTGCTTTTTCACGCTAACCTGTCATTCTACCACTTGAGCCACATGAGTCACAGCTCTGCTTCTGTGTGTGTGTGTGTGTGTGTGTGTGTGTGTGTATGTGTGTTGTGGAGCTTGAACTCAAAGCCTAGGTGCTGTCCCTAAGCTCTTTTGCTCAAGGGTAGCACTCATCACATTGAGCCATTGCTCCACTTCTGATTTTTAAGTGGTTAATTGGAGATAAGTGGTAAACTGCAAATTTCAGATCTCAGCCTCCGGAGTAGCTAGGATTAGAGGCTTGAGATATTAGCACTTGGATTTCTACTTCTCATTTTAAAGGACCGAGTGTTCTCACCTTCTGTGGATCTGCAGGCCCCTTACTAATCTCACACTGCTTGTGTGTGGAGGGTGTGGGGGGGAGCTGAAATGTGAAATGGGCAGGACAGCAGAAGGAACCCAGTTCACTGATGCCTCCCTTCCATCTTCTCTTGCAGACACCATTACAGTCCCACCAACCATCCCTGAGCCTTGCCACCTCAATCTTCCCAAGTAAAGGCATTCACTCCATCATTTCATCTGGGTTGCATGGCACTGGATTTAGTGTTGACAGTATCTAGGGATAGGTACTAGAAATGGGAGTCTGGGGAGATGGCATCAGAAACAGTAAAACTATAAAATCATGGTTTGAGCTTAGGAATGTAGTTTCAATTTGGTGTCTCCAAGCTTTGGGAGACCCAGAAATCTCTGGACTCACCCAATGTGAGGGGCGGGAGGGAGGTGGGGGAAGGAAGGTAAAATATGAATTAGTTGGAGGGCAGGAAAGGGAGAAAATCCACAGCTCTCACTGAGGAACCAAATGCCTGTATAACCAGAAGCAAAATATTAATGACCAGTGGGTGAGGGTGAAATCCACTAGCCTACGTGAGAGTCATTCCAAGGTCTTACTGGCAGACAGGAAAGTTACACTTGACTTTCAGGAAGGGCTTCAAAAGGCCCAACAATTCATCTGCTCCTTCCTTCCCTTTACCAAAACAGAAAAGAACATTTAATCTTGGCCTTTTTTGCTGGAGTTCTACTGACTCTGCTGCTGCTAGCCTTTGTCTTTTTCATCGTGAAGAGCTGCAGAAGGTGTAAGTGGTGTCTGGGGAATGCGATCACCTTCTCTCTGCAGTTGAGGACAGGAGCCAGTGAGGGGGAGGAGGCAGGGGTGAGATGAAGCCCGTTAGCTTGCCTTCCCTGATTTCCCTGCCCTCCTCACACCACGTGAGGTTGAAGGGAAAGACTCCTCCACTCCTCCAGGTCTCGTTGGTAAGATATGTGTGTCTTTCTGGCACGTGTTATAGGTCATTCCAGTTCCCAGACCCTGGATTCTGGCTCAGATCCTCCTGCTAAGGTAAGATGGCCATGTTTCCAGGACACTGGAAGGTCATTGCAACTGGGATTTCCTCCAGATTTCCTTCTGTATTGTCTACTGAAATAGTGGTGTCACTTCCTGAGCTCTAGGCAAATGGTTCTTTTAAGAGTTCTTGTTGAATTCTTGTACTGAAGCTTTCGAGTCGCTTAAAAGGTATCTTTGGCTCCAAAATGAATTCACTTATTCCTCTTTGTTTTCTCTGAAGCTTTCAACCATACAAAAAGACTCACCTACCTATGCCAGCATGACTTTCAGACCTTCAGAAGAAAAGAACAATCACTTGATTGAAAACAGCTCAACAGACCTGGATCCTATTGTATATGCCCAGGTTAAAGTGACAAACTCACAGCTGCCTCCTCAATGAGCCTTTAATTCCTCTCAGTCCTCCTCTTTTTTTTTCTTTTTACAAATTTGGGCTCACAGCCTGTATGTGAAAGTTCAGAATTGTTTAAGCATCATCTGGCAATACTATCATAGTTTTGAGTACCAATGGTGGATTGTTTTCTTGGCCAGAGAAAAGATTGCTGCCTCCCTACTTGAACTGACATCTGATGGCTCCCTGAAGGTCTTTCTAGTACCCTTCCAAAGTATGTGTGACAGAACTTAGTACAATGTGTCCCTAGCTCACTGATCATCCATGGAGTAATTAACGAAATGAATAAAAGCATCTTTCAAGTAAAAGGCACAAACCCTCTACAAACATAGCCTCCTTCTTCATGAGTTTGTTTTTGTCACCTCATTCAGAATTTATGACCAGAGTTCTACATACATATGAAGCCCATATTTTATTTTTATTTTTGAACTAGTACTGGAACTTGAATTCAGGCCCTTATGCAATTGCTGAGCTTTTCCTGCTCAAGGTTTTCCTGTTCTTCCGGCTTTTTGCTGGATTATTAGAGACAAGAGTCTCAGATTGTTCTGCTCAGGCTGGCTTTAAACTCAGAGCTCAGCCTCATGAGTAGTTAAGATTATAGGTATGAGCTACCAGTGCCCAACATGAAGTTTATATTTTATAAAGCATTATTCAAATGTGGATTTGTATCTTTCCTAATGTATGAGAGACATTCATAACCACCTTATGTGAGACCAGTCATAAAGATGAATATAAACATCCTAATGGATAATTATGCATAGAAAATCTCATTAAAATATTAATAATGGGCTGGGGCTAGGTCTGCCTAAAGTCATAAAACCCTGAGTTTGAATCCTCAGGGTTTCCAAAGAGAAAAGCAATCAATTTATTTTTCACTAGGTAAGTTTAATCTAAAATTCCTAAAATAATAAGAAATCAAATCCAGGAAAATTCATAAAGAGAAGTTTGTAATAAATAAAAGTAATATGGGAAGGCTAGCCCTAACAGCTAACTAAAATTACCTGTTTTCCTAAACATGATTATTTAAAGCAACATGTTTATGGGACATGAATAAACAAATCTATGGAATAGAATAAAACAGCTAAAATAGATCAACACACAAAAGGAAATGTAGAGTATGATGAAGATGGCATGTCAAGTAACTTGGAGGAGGTTGATTTATTCACTAAATGGTGTTGACATTTTTAAAAATGTAGCTAGGAGACCATTCACTCCTATCTCAAAATAAATTCCAGATACCCCAAAATATGGTTTGATTATGAAATGCTTCCAAAGCTCATGTGATCTGGCCTTGGTTACCAGCCGATGGGCTTTGAGGGAAGCAACAGATCCTGAGAGCCCCAACCCAATGAATGGATTAATCTCTACATGGATTTATAATTTGATTATGTTTTTGGAAGATGAAAGAAAGTGGAAGATGGAACTCAGCTGGAAGAATAAGTCACTGGAGGTTTGCTCTGCAAAAATATACCTTGTTCCCAATTCCCTTTTCTCTTTGTTTCCTGGCTGCCATGAGGTGAACAGCTCAACGTCATACCCTCTCTACCATGATGCTTTGCCTCACCTTAGGTCCAAAACAGTGGATCTGGCTGATCTTAGATTGAGACCTCTGAAACTGTTAGCCAAAATAAACTTTTCCCTATTTAAAGTTATTTGTCAACAACAACAACAAAAACTAACCTAAAAATTTAACTATAAAACCATTTAAGTACTAGAAAATCATGGGAGAATTTTTTTAAATAATTTCAGCATAGAGCATATCTTTGCATATATGACACAAAACCTGGAAATCAGAAAAAACTAACATGACATAAAATATCACTTAAAAAAGGCAAGTAAAAAGCATGGAAAACATTTACTTCATCTCATAAACAACTCATTTTCTTTTTTTTTCTGGGTCCAGTCGTGGGGCCTGAACTCTGGGCCTGGGCGCTGTCCCTCAGCTCTTCAGCTCAAGGCTAGTGTGCTACCAATTGAGCCACAGTGCCACTTCCGGCTTTTTCCTTTTTTGCTTATGTGGTGCTGAGGAATCGAACCCAGGGCCTCATGCATGCAAGGCAAGTGCTCTACCACTGAGCCACCTTCCCAGCCCAAACAACTCATTTTCTTAATACATTTTTTAAAAAAGAATAGGAAAAAATATCATAACTCAATAGGAAAACAGAACAATGAATATCAATGGTTCTTAAACATATGAAAAGCTTCATTCAGAGTAAGTGAAATAGTCATTAACACTACAATTAGAACTACAATTTGATGATGTCTATCAAAAAGTTTGCCAACAATCTGCATTTAGGGCAAACCAAGATACATACTGTACAGGGCAAGGCAAGTTGGTTCAACTACCATGAATAGCAGTTGAGCAATAGTAAACACTTTAAATTCTATTTCCAAGAATTTCTAAAAAATCTAAGGATTTATCCTACTTACCAATATAGAAAGGTACTATCTAACTTTAATGACAGTGTTAATCAAGTTAGCTGAAACTTAGACTTGTAGGCATCAAATCATGAGCCATGTATTTACACAATCATCACAGAATACCCTGAGCTTAAAATTAGTTTCAATTTAGGTACAGAAATAGAGGCACAATGAGGTTAAATAACTTATCCAAGTTCACTCTACTAGATGTGATAGCAGTAGAACTTTATTCCATTTGAGTGGATGCTATAGTTCACACATTTACCCATCATGCCCAATTATCTATAATCGCAAAAGACTTGAGGATCTCTCAATGTCAGGTGATAGGGATTGGCTCATGGAGTACAATGTAGTCATTAAAAAAGAATGACGACACGCAATATATTCTAACAAAATAAGCTCTCGTCCGGTGTGATGGCATATACCTGTAATCCCAGTACTTGAGGTTAAGACAGAAGGATTACTCACACAGTCTTCAGAGCATTGGCTTCCAGTATTGAATTTGAGGGAGAAGCTAGTGAAACAGAGTTGGATAAAGGCACAGACTCTGCAAGACTAGTTTAGAGAAATAATCCCACAGAAAGGCTGCAACATCAAAGAGAAGCCAGCCCCAGGAGGGCAGCAGGGCCCTATGCTCTTCTCCAGTTGGCTGACTCCAAGGAGCACAAACTCCAAGAGACCTACCAGTTTTGCCAGCATCAAATAGTTCTGCCAACTCTGGTTCTGGAAGCCACTTGAGGTTTCCAGTTTACAGCTAGAGCCTTACAAACACAGCCATAGGAGCATGCGTATGCATGAGTACTAAGGCTTTCCACTTGTATGTGGAACATCCAAACCCATTACTCTCCCCTCTTTGGCTTGAAGTTGCCCCCCTCCCTTTTTTTAACAGCACATGTCAATTTTAGTCTTCAGATTTTCTGTCTCCCAACCACAAGAACTGGTATGTAGCAGGAATTACTGGAGGAGAAAAGGAGTAATTAATCCATCACAGACTCAAAAAGTACTTTGCTAAGGAAAAAGAGGGAGAGGAAAAAAAAAAAAAAAAGCTCTTGAATCCTGGATCATGGCAGCAGAACAACCTGAGGATTTCTCAGGAAAACGGTTGCATGGACAGTGTAGGTAAGAATCTATCAAGACAACTAAAGATGTCTGTCTCTGTCATGGAAATCTGCCATCCCATCTTGTCTACTAGGGTGTCTTGAGCACAAACTGAAAAGCTGAGTGCAGAACCAGTGGATGGTGGCCCCTTTGTGGAGATTCTTTACATGGCCACATGGAGGGATGGATGAGAGTTGTTTGGGGGCAGAAGAAAAGCAAGCACTTTGTGTGTGTGTGTGTGTACCCATGCATGTGTGCCAGTAGTGGACTTGAACTCGGGGCTTGGGCACTGTCCCTTAGTTGTTTGGTTGTTGTTTTGTTATTTTTGTTCTCAAGGCTAGTGTACTACCACTTGAGCCACGCTTCTGCTTGCTGCTTTTTGATGGTTAATTGGAGTTAAAAGACTAATGGACTTTCCTTCCTGAGCTAGCTTTCAACTTTGAACTTCAGTCCTCAGATCTCAGCCTCCTGAGTAGCTAAGATTACAGGTATAAGCTACCAGGGCCCGGCTGAGTGAGCACTTTTAATGCTGAATGAACCTCAGGTAGGGAAGGTGGTCATATAGAAACATGCACTAGAGCCTGGATGTGGTCCAGAAAGACACACAAGCAGAATCTTATCAACAGCCTTTCTCCTTGTCCTACCTCTGCTCAGACTAGAGGGCCATTGGATTTAGCCAGAAACCCCATTCAAGAGCAAGATTCTGATTGGGGCAGTGGATACAAGGTTAGAGAAGGCCTGGGGTCTCCCAGAAACAGAAGGAAGGACACTATAGGAAGAAAGGAAAACAAATTATGCAGATGAGGACATGATTTTTACCCTTTCTCATTGCATATTACCACCAATGCCCTCATCTCATGTTGGTAATTCTGGCACCAATAACAATGTATTGCATATATCTGTGGCAGATGTCTTGGTCTTCATTTGTGTTTCCTGATTTGGATGGATATTGCCACTTGTTACCCTTTCATCAAAATTGGCATCTATTTGCTCAGATGGCAGTTTTGACAATGTCGTTAATGAGCCAGTCTTCTCTCTAAAGGAATCTGAAAGCCATACTATTTCCTTTCTTTTGGGTAGGACAGCATTTAGGACTAATTCAGACATGAGTTAGACTATTTCACTTTTTTTTTTTTTGTCAGTTGTGGGGCTTGAACTCTGGGCCTGGGCACTGTCTCTCAGCTCTTCAGCTCAAGGCTAGCACTCTACCACTTAAGCTATAGCAACACTTCCGGTTTTTTCTGTTTATATAGTACTGAGGAATCAAACCGAGGGTCTCATGCATGTGAGGCAAGCACTCTACCACTGAGCCACCTTCCCAGCCCAGATTATTTCACTTTTTAAGGAACTTTAACAATACTATCCTGGGAGAAGTTAGTCATAACTCTGGAGTTTAACATTGGTCAGGAATTTATTAGTTAACAAAAAAAAAATACATGTTATTTCTGACCCAGATTCTGCACCTCTTCTTCACTCCTGGCCAATCAAATGCCAGCCAGCTAAGGTCTGGAGATGTTATTTGGTGGCGGCCTTGCTCAGCGTGGTCTGTCCTAGCTCTTCTGACTACCGCTGCTGTTGTTACCTGGCTTCGAATGAGGCTGGCAAGGTTTAGAGGGTCCTTCAGAGAGCCTGAGAGTTCAGAATCAATCCCTGAGATTTCTGGCCAGTTGTCATAGTGATTTTGCTCTAGCACCGTACTTAACTTATGAACTAAATAAAAGACATCTTCTGTTGTACATGGGAGGAGCTTCATGGTTGCCTACTTTGTTGGGGAATAGAAAGGAAAAGGTGAGTTGAGATCTATTGCCTGAATGTTTCTTCAACAAAAACTACACACTCTCTCCTATGGGCTTCTTGGGAATATACACCAAGGTTGTTTTGAGGGGCTGGAATCAGATGCCCAGAGTTTACCAGTGAGTTAGTAAGAATATTTGGGAGACAGGCTTACATTCACCGCTCACCATATTTTGGTGATAGAAATGCAACTTGATGTCTTCCCAAACCTATCGTGCTGAAGCTGTCAGGGACCTTGCTTTTCATTGGCCTGTGTGTGAAGAAGCAGGCCACAGCTAAAACAACTGGCTGTACAACCCCTGGCTATAATGAATAGAGTTGGATTTCACTATTGTATTTTGCATTGTACCCACTGGCCTCTCCTTTATTTAGGCTAATTTGATCATTTTACATTTGTGTTTATGTGTGATAGTCTAATCATACCTTGGTTTATGTCCTACACTTGCTTTTCATTGTATTCTTAGTATCTAGTATGTTCCTTGTTTGTGGAATGAATGAATGGGATGAATAATTTATGGAGAGGAAAACAGGCTCAGAAAAGTTCAGGTTGACCAAGCTCATGCCTTAAAGCAGTAGACAATGGTCTTTGTAAAGACAGACACCATAATTGTGTCCAGCAGGGAATGATCTCTAGCAAACCTGAGAAAGGTGTTGCTTTGTCTGCATCTTTCCTCCTCCATAGTTCCCAAAGTTACTAGATGACTGAGGCTAAGAATGCTACCAGAACCACAATTTGCTTTTCCTGGGGGTTCCTGACCTGGTCCCAGAGCCAAAGCATCACCGGGAAAACATGAGACTTCCCAGCCTAAGTTTGCATCCCAGCTTCTCCCAGCCTTTGGACCTTGTGTTTCTCTAAGACATCTTTCGGGGGGGGGGGGGGGTGGTCCTTAGGTTTCTTTCCCCCTTTCTGTGAGATGTTCTTTTGCTACAATTTTCTATCTAGAGGTAATAGGAATCTATTTCATAGTTATATTTACTGACTCTTCATTCCTAAGATGTTTTCTACAACATTGAAGCATTGGCATCTTTTTTTTTTTTTTTTCGGTCGGTCATGGGGCCTGAACTCTGGGCCTGGGCGCTGTCCCTCAGCTCTTCAGCTCAAGGCTAGCGCTCTACCACTTGAGCCACAGCACCACTTCTGGCTTTTTCAGCTTATATGGTGCTGAGGAATGGAACCCAGGGTCTCATGCATGCAAGGCAAGCACTCTACCACTGAGCCACCTTGCCAGCCCTGGCATCTATTTTTTTAAAAAGCAAAACCAAAAGACAGTGCTTGAGTGCATGCATGTGTGCATGCATGCACGTGTGTGTGTGTGTGTGTGTGTGTGTGTCTTTGTTTAATTTGTAACAAAGCCATATAGACAAGTACAAATCGTAAATCCTCTTTTGCAAGCCAAAACTCATTGTTGAATATGAGATTTTGGTATTTGTAAGAAGGAATATGATTCCTACAATAGTTGGCAATGGGGCTAGGAAGGTGGCTCAGTGGTAAAGTGCTTGCCTTGCATGCTTGAGGCCCTGGGTTCGATTCCTCAGCACCACATAAGCAGAAAAAAAAAGCCGGAAGTGGCGCTGTGGCTCAAGTGGTACAGTGCTAGCCTTGAGCTAAAGAGCTGAGGGACAGCGCCCAGGCCCAGTGTTCAGGCCCCACAACCGGACCCAAAAAAACCCAAAATAGTTGGCAATATGTGGGGGGGGGGGGGGGGTTGTTAACTCACATAGGTTGGCCCTGGAAATAAAGTTGATGTAAAAAAAAGAAAAGAGTGCTGCATTATATTGAACAGCAGTCCTGCTGTTTAGCGAATTCTTCAGGATTTAGCAAAATTGTCACATGGCAGCCTAGAGTTCTCTCTCATGCCACTAGCAAGTCACTTGGCAAAGCCTTATTTTTAAAAAGGGAGCCCTTCAGAAAGGACTTTGTGGGACACAGCATCCAGGACATAGTAGAATCAAGGAGGGAACTTACCAGAGGCGTGGGAATCACAGAAGCTTGGTTGATCTGGGAGCTTCTACTGAGGACTTTACCTGTAACCACTCAAGAGGAAAAGGAGACACACAGCTAGGCACCACACCCTTATCTAAGGGCAATCCCAAGGCTGAGGCCTGTGAGCCTGTTCTCGCACCCTGACCCTTTCAAGCTTTTGTTTGTTTGCTTGTTTGTTCATTTTTTGGTCAGTCAGGGGACTTGAATAGGGCCTGGGCACTGTCCCTGAGCTTTTCCCTCAAGGCTCACACTCTACCACTTTGGGTTACAGCTCTCCTTCTGGTTTTCTAGCAGTTTCTTGAAGATAAGAGTCTCACAGACTTTCCTGCTTGGGCTGGCTTTGAACTGTGATCCTCCGATCTCAGCCTCCTAATAGCTAGGATTACAGATATGAGCTACCAGCCACTAGCTCATGAGGATATTTTGATGCCTGCTTACCCAGGAATCCCAGAAGCTCCTGCCTTTGACATGAGCCTTGGCCCCAGTTCTTCCAGGTGATCAAACTACCTCATTCAAGGAAGAATCAGTTGGGGAATCAGTTGGCTCTGCAGATATCTATATCTCTATCTATCTTATGATAGATAGAGAGAGAGCGAGATAGATAGAGATATAGATATCTATATATATCTGCATATATATAGATAGAACGATATAGATAGATATCCATATATATATATATAACCTGCAGGGTAGTTTTTCTCTGGGCTTTCTTTCACTGTTTGCACAGTGAAACTGTGCACAGTGTTTCAAGGTTTTGTTTGTTTGCTTGTTTGTTCATTTTTTGGTCAGTCAGGGGACTTGAATAGGGCCTGGGCACTGTTTGCACAGTGACACTGTTTCACAGTTTCCATTTACAAAAGCTGTAATGTAGCCAGGCACCAGTAGCTCCTGACTGTAATCTTGCTACTTGGGAGGCTGAGATCTGAGGATCAGTGTTCAAAACCAGCCCAAGCAAAAAAGTTCATGACATTCTTGGATCAAGTGGTAGATAGAGTGCTATCCTTGAGCAAGAAATCTAAGGGGCAGTCCCTAGGCCCTTAGTTCAAGCCCCAGTACCAGAACACAAAAAATGGTACAGGGTTCTTTCGGTCACCTCTCACCAAGAGGTTGACTTTGTCACAAAGAGGTTGTTATCTTCACCAGCACGTGGTTTGGCAGCTTTGGTCTCTAAGTGACAAGGCAGTAAGAGGAGGGTCATATTCACTTGTTTGAAATCTGCTCCAGGCCTCCTCTCCCTAATTCCTGACCACCCTACCATCCACTGTGGCACTTACCTCGTCTATTCCTTTGAGTTCTCCTTCTTTTGGACAAATGACTGGTGATAGAGATGATTCCCAAACCAGTGATCAGTATGCAAATGATAAGAATGGACATCCTAGAAGGAATTACAGAAAACTGCAAGTCCCTTGGAAGGAAAACACTTGGTTTCTCTGCTCTGGCTCTCTCTCTCTCTCTTTTTTTTTTTGGGTCCAGTCCTGGGGCCTGAACTCTGGGCCTGGGCGCTGTCCCTCAGCTCTTCAGCTCAAGGCTAGCACTCTACCACTTGAGCCACAGCGCCACTTCCAGCTTTTTTCTTTTTGCTTATGTGGTGCTGAGGAATCGAACCCAGGGCCTCATGCATGCCAGGCAAGCGCTCTACCACTGAGCCACCTTCCCAGCCCACTGGCTCTCTCTTTCTGAGATCAACATCCCACCACTCTCAACCCAGTTGCAACCCATCAACTGTCTTTCTCTAGTCTACAGTGACCACATCGCTTTGACCTGGTGAGCATCTGATTGAGCTGGGCCAATCAGAGTACTGACATACTTCTTTGGGACTGGAAGTGAAAAAATAAATCATTTATTTATTTATTTTATTTGGTGCTAGTCCTGGAGCTTGAACTCAGGGCCTAGGCACTGCTAGCTCAAAGCTGGCACTCTACCACTTGAACCACAGCACCAAGTCGTTTTTCTAAGTAGTTCATGGGATATAAAGGGTCTCACAGACTTTTTTGTCCTTGAATCATTATGCTCAGATCTCAGCCTCCTCAGTAGCTTGGATTACAGGTATGAGCCACCAGTGCCAGGCTCCCTTCCCTCTTTAATTAAAGAAGCTACAAGCTACTTTTGCTGCTTTCAAATCAGAATCTCCTTTTGAGAGAAACATATTCAAGTGGGCAAATACCATGCAGCTGGAAATAATGAGTACAAGTGAATCATCTATTGGGTTAGGACCCATCCTACCCCATTACTGCCCTCCCAAACAGACCTGTTTCCTAACTCACCTGGAGCGATCTGCCTTGTGGACAATTTTGGAAGCCCTGCAACTTCTGTTCCTTTGGATGGATGGGTCTAAATCAGAAAGAATTTGCTGAGAGAAAGACTCATCAGGGACCCTTCCTTTGCCTTTCAGCTGCCTCTCTTCTGATCATTCTCTCTGTCTCCAGAAAGTGAGTACATTGTTGCTTTCTGACTAAGACAGAGGCATCCAACTGTTATATAAGTGTGCATTACACAAGGAACATGGATAAGGAACAAGTAGGATCTAAAATCCAACCTGCTGTCAATTTGCCACAGTGCCGCTGAATTCCATGCACGTGGAGGAAGGAAGATCTCCGGATTTTCACAAAGGCCCACAGGCTATAGTTCCAGGCTGAGAGCTACTCCCATAGGAAGGAATGCCTCCTGCATTCCTGCAGATGGCCAGTCTCATGCTTACAGAAAGAACCAATATGTGATCAGTTGCCACATCATGCTTCTGACAGCCACCAACCCAAAGGGAGGTCTTACCCTGGCCCCCACCGTGCCTCTACTGATACGAACTGGGAGAGGTCTTATTTTACTGAAAGGATGGATGGAGCACATTGAAGTGGAACTTCTTTCTTTCAAAGCCTAAAACTCAAGATTGGTTCTTATGAAATCTTAAGTCCTACATGTCTAGAACCATGGAGAAGTAACAGGCTGCAAAAAACATAAACAAAGCCAGCCTGTGCAGGAAGTTCCTGAGACTCTTTTCTCTTTTTGGGTCCGGTCGTGAGACCTGAACTCTGGGCCTGTGGGCCCTCAGCTCTTCAGCTCAAGGCTAGCACTCTACCACTTGAGCCACAGTGCCACTTCCAGCTTTTCTCTTTTTGCTTATGTGGTGCTGAGGAATCGAACCCAGGGCCTCATGCATGCAATGCAAGTGCTCTACCACTGAGCCACCTTCCTAGCCCTCCTGAGACTCTTATCTCCAAACTACTCAGAAAAAAAACAGAACTAGCCTTGAGTACAAAGAGGCTCAGGGACAGCACCCAGATCCTGAATTCAAGCCTCGGGACCAGCAAAAAAAAAGACCAACAACAAAACAAAACAAAATTCAAGTTCCCAGAAGCTTTCAACTTAAAATTTTTAATAATTTGCATGCTCTCAATTAGCTTTTTTTGCTCAAGGCTGGTGCTCTACCACTAGAGTCACACCTCTACTTGTATCTTTTTGCTGGTCAACTGAAGATAAGAATCTCTGAGATTTGTTTGCCTGGGTTGGCTTTGTGCTTGGATTCTCAGATCTCAGCTTCCTATGTAGCAAAGATTATAGGCGTGAGCCACCAGCTCCTGGCTAAGCACCCAGTTTTCCTTGTAAGGAATTGAGTCTTCTCTAAGAGGCCATTAGGAGTGTGGGGTTGTGACCAGAGCCTGCAGGATGACAGCTATATAAGCCAATCAATTGTGACTTCCAACCAGAGCTAACTGCGAAGATCCTCAAATACTCACATGCTCCTTCTGCTGAATGTTGGAAAGTGTGTGAGTGAGAGAGGTGGGGGGGGGGAGAGAGAGCTGGGGCTTGAAGTCAGGGCTTAAGCACTGTCCCTTAACTTTTTGTTAAAGGCAAGCATTCTAGCACTTGAGCCACAGCTCCACTTATGGCTTTTTGGTGGTTAATTGTAAGTAAGAGCCTCATGGTCTTTCCTGCTCAGGCTGGCTTTGAACTGTGATCATCAGCTTGCCTCCTGAGAAGGTAGGATTACAGGCATGAGCCACTGACACCTAGATCTGCAAACCTTTTGTACCAGAAAGCCTCTGTGTTTCCTTCAAGCAGTCAGCTCATGGAAGGGCAATATGATAGTTCATTTCTGCTTCTCATTGTTTCCATTTCTAAAAGCGAACTCCTTTTCTCTTACTATCCAGAGCACAATGCCAATTGAAATTGAGGAGACTCATACCCAGTCCACCTCCCCACCCCCACTCCACATTCCCCCACTCCCTCTACTAGAGCCTCATACTATCACATTAGGCCAACTGGAAACTGATTCAGCAAACTTCTCACAGAGCCCAGCACCCTATTAGCACCCCATTGCTTCTGCTTGGTGGTATGATACTCCTGTGTGTGTGTGTGTGTGTGTGTGTGTGTGTGTGTGTGTGTTAGAGAGAGAGAGAGACAGAGAGACAGAGAGAGAGAGAGCGCGCACATGCATGCCAGTACTCAGGACTTCACACTGTCAC